ACGTCTTCACATGAAAACATAACTTAAATGTTAGCTTTTGTAATTCAAAATGACGTCTGTATGTGTCTGTAAAAAGCCATGTAGAGTATATCAGATTATGTTTGTGATACAATAACTAACATGACAGGGCATTCAAGGATAAAGAGTTTTTTATGCTTGTAAAGTACCATATCTACAATAGTTGAGTCCTTATGTCATCAGCCTAACAGTGAATTCTGATGCTGAAGGCCATGCAATTATTACTTTAAGCTGTGCATTTGAGTAAAAGGTTATCTTAACCATGGGCTGACAGTGTAGCACTTATGACTTATGGTAGCTGTTATTTACTAGTATGACAATAATGTACAAATAATGAAAATTACTGAACACACAACAAAAATGATCAGGTAAATGGTAAAAAACATTGTCAGTCTTCTATCTGAACTCACCCTTACAGGAAAAAAATGTGTTCCACTACAACATGAGAAATAAGAAGGAGATTACTCATTTATGTTAGCTGGATATAGTTGTTATAGCTTACTGACACATTTATTAGGTTTGTTGTATAGCAACCCATTGTATTTATGTAATAAATACTGTGTGCACTACATTTTTTAATGTGTTCCATGCATTTAAGTCTCTGGATTACAATAAACTTAACACAATGGACTTTTTTTCCTTTTGTTTTTCTTCTTTTTCTTCTTTAGGATGTTTGTATGAAACCCACTACCACTTTAATTATTGGCATTTAATTTAAATGTTGTCACTGCTTTGACCAATATTTTTGCTTGAAATTTTCTGAGGACATAGACCACACAACCTTCCCTTACTAAGCAGGCAAAAGTTAACAAAATGTGAGCGTCCCTGCCAGAGTTATTACCTTTTTTGGATATGTTTAGCTATCTCTGCTTGTGAGCTTATTTAAGGGATGATTTCCTCTCTCCTCCTTTAACTTGCTTTGGTATGTCTGACTGCCATAAACTGTTTCATGCAACACATTAAAATGCCTCACATCATGGGTAAAATGACATTACTACAAGTAAAAATGTAAGCAGAAATGAAGTACATGTTAATTTATTGATAAAATTTAAAATGTTACTTTGGTTAAAAAAGGCGAGGCTAGGTTGATCTTCACTACAACAAGAATACATGTAATTTGATTAAATAAAAGCTAAATGTATTCTAAATCCTACTTTCTCTCTTCTAGCATGAAAGGCTGTCTAGGTAAGTTTTCCATGACTTTGGATACTGAAGCACAAATAAAATCTATATGTTTTAATGGTCGCTAAAGTTTGAGAGAAACTGATAATGAGAAGTTATGTCTTTAGATTGGGCTCATCGAGCTCATCTGACGTCTCCAACGACACGTCAACAAACCATGCAGAGTCCTACTTTTTACGAAGGGAGAACAGACTGTCTGCAAAGAAGAAGGCAGAAGAAGAGAAGATGAACAGTGACTATAAAAAGGCAAATGATGCGATTTGATTGTTGAACTTTTGACTTGGAGTTGTTGTAAATGGTGAACAAAAGTAAACCCTGTATCAATTCTCTTGTGTTAATTCAAGTAATCTATACTATGTAATATATAATTACATGATATATTAAGCTTATGTAAAGATTTGACACTTTGCCAGCTCAAAACCTCACATCACAGATACCACCAGTTTATTGTTCTTTTAAAAAGAAGAAGCAAAAAAGAACCCGTAATCCTTACCTGTAGTACAATTGTACTTGTACTTCAATAATAGAACAATTATAATCATTAAATGTAGTATTTACACATGAAGAAATTAAGCTACCACAGACTCCTCATTTAAGTTTGTTGTTTTCTGATATCAGTTATACCAGTGATCTATATGTGTTTAACGGTTGTTTATATAATCTTATCATTGTATGGATTTATTTAACCTTGCTCCATTTTGTTTTATTTGTTTCAATTTTGAGCTGTGAAATGAACCTGTGGCGATCCAAACATATGTGAATTTTACAGATGTATGAAAAGGCACTGGCAACAAATCAAAGGCTCAAGTCCCGACTAGAGACCAGCAAACAAGACCTGGCTTCAGTTCAGGACCAGCTGCAGACTGTACAGGTGTGCAAATTAATTTCATTTTGGGCAATTTAACAACAACAACATCAACAACAACAACAATAATAATAATAATAATAATAATAATAATAATAATAATAATAATGGTTATTTTACTGGGACAGAAGGGAAAACCAGATGATTGTACTTCAAAAATGCTTGAAGCAGAGAAAAAGGTACATACTCATCAATCTCATTTTGTATGTTTTAATGAAACTACCCTATTCATGTTTAATAGATTATCTTTACAGGAAAGCTGGAGCCTTAAAAAGAGGATATCAGATATGGAAGAACAATTAAAGGTAATTTTTATTCATTTCATAAGCGTATTAATATTCCTACCCCGAGTGTTATTAAGCACACACAAACTGTGTGAATGTTTGTGAGACATTGTGTTGACGATGGTTTTAGCTGGTATCACTTGCCACCATTCTGTTGTTGGCTTTGGAAGCTGTCAACACCACAGCCACAGTGAACAACAATTGTTCACTGTCAAATGACAATAGTCTGCTCTGTGCTGCCCAAGAAAATTCCAACAAGAGCTTTTTGTTTTCTGTCAATGAATTGTCTTAACAAATATGGGATTCTAGTCTGAAAATAAACCCCGGCACAAAAGACACCATGAATGTGGATTGGTGTGTGTTTCTGTGTGTAGATGGATGATTGTTTGACTGAGTAGATTTGATCAACTCTGACAGAACAGAGACAGAAACAAAACTACATTTCAAAAATTAAGTTTGCAACACTGTGATACTTACTGATCCATTTGGTGTTGAGTCATAGATATTGGTATGTTAACTATAGTGACTATTAACTATTTGATGTATGATTTCACTTAACATGGATTTAGTTTTAAATTAATTTAAGCAGTAAAAACTATTGATTATGTGGATGTGGGGTTTAACTAAACCAAGAATACTAAATTGGAGGACCAACTTTTTTAGTCATGGTTAAAGCCATCAAACGTTAGTTTTGATCAAACTGCTTAAAAAAGTAATTTAGTGTTTATTCACACACATCCTTTGGTCCACTTGTTTGGTGCTGACCAAAAATTGACCTTTTTTGTTTTGTGCTGTTCATTTCACATTGTGCTTTTCCTGGGTGATGATCACTACTTCCATTGGACAGAAAGGATGGGGGCAGGACAAAGCACAGACCTGGAAAAAATCAACTTTTGAAGTCCTGTGTGCTGCGTTTGTTGTGCATATTTGTGATGTTGTTGAAAATGTAGTACTACTTTGAATGTCAAGAGCAGCTCATACAACGCAGGTTCCACAACCTGATTTTGTAATTTTGGAACAGCATCAGCAAACACTGCTGAAAGCTGAATGAGACCAGATGCTCTGCGCCTCCTGACCACAACATGTTTAGCAAATTAGTTACAATTTCAGTACATGGAGAAGTAGCGTTAGCAATACTGAAGGCATCATTTTTACTATAATGCAAAGGAATTGTGACTCATGAGGTTCAAACAAATGTTCATTTCCTGTAGTTGGTTCAGATCAAGACCAGTCTGTATTCACACCAGAAGCAAACCGTATCAGAGTTTGTTTGGAAGCGGACAGAGACCGCCTCAAAAAGTGAGTCTTAGGTTGTTTGCTCCACACCAGGGTTCGCTTGAGTGTATTCATATAGGTTCGGATCAATAGAGGAAACAAACTCTGGTCCATTTAAAGAAGCTCAAATATGTTATGTGTGAAGACCCCTGTAGAAAGTTATCTTTACATAACCCTCATCATAGCTACTGCAAATATTCATCCATCTATTAGACCCACTTAACCAGGCAGGGTCATGGAGAGAGCTGGTTCCAGTCTTCAGGAGTTATAAGACAAGACACTCTGGAAACTTAACCAGTCTTCTGATTAGCTTACATCTAAACATTATGCTAGTTTAGGCTTTTCTGTGCTTTTTGTCTTCAGGTGAAAGCTGAGCTGAAGCTGGAGAACCAGAGGTTGAAGGATGAGAATGGGGCTTTAATCCGTGTCATTACTAAACTCTCCAAGTAAAACAGGAAGCAGGCGGGGGAGAGGAAGAGGGGAAACATAAAAAGCTATTTTTAAATCCAGTAAAGGAATAAACTGACCTCTGAAAGGACTGTGGTTCTGCTGATGTTCTCTAACCGTAAGGTTTCTTGTACTTTTTTGTTGTGTAAAATATTCATAAAAGGTGTCTGTCTACAAAAGGCTGTTGTTCTGTTTTACACAATTTCTGCAGTGACTTAAAATCAAATTGTAGATCTTCATACTGCTTCTTATTTAGAATAGCAACTCTTTTGGACACTCAAAGTGTATACAGTATTTTCTTTACAGCTAAAAAAGTAAATACAAAGCAATGGAAATTTTGGTCACTTCAGATAAATACATCAGCTAGAGAGATAAAACTTATGGATAGACAATAAATATAAAGCACATGTTTTTGTGTCTGAGCAATTTGTGCAAATTAAAATATTATAGCTAGTATTTTATATTAAATTCCAATTCTTTAAAATAAAGGACTGCTGGAAATGGACAAATCATATTTTTTGTATCATCTTTGATTTGGGTGCGTTATTGTGGATTTAATTGCAGCTGACATAATTTGCATCAGCATTTCTGTTACTGATCACTATTCTATGATATATATGAATATATATGAATATATATGAATATATATGAATATATATATATATATATATATATATATATATATATATATATATATATATATATATATATATATATATATATATATATATATATATATATAATATGTATGTATATATAATACATATAATTCGTCATAATAGTAAGAATGTAAGATCTACTGGCTGTTTTGTCAGTAGGTGCTGCTTGCCTGCTTTGAGTTCATGAAAGATAAACTATTCAACAGTGTCACCTATTGACCATGAGTTGAAATGCACCCTTGATTTGTCTCTCCACACCACACAAGACGCTGATACACAAAACGTTTTTATTTGCTGTGATTACAGTTTGACAACACACAGGTATGTCCTTTCTTCCTTGAGTTTTATTATCTACTTGAGTTGGTTCAGTTTTACATGTTTCTTTTAGTTTTTCTGTTGCTGCAAAAATGACTTTTCAATTAAACAAAATCATGCATGTCACAAAAAGGCACATCTATTAATACTCCTCTACAGTAGACCAAAACGAGAGTGAAAAGAGACAAGCGATCCCCTTGTCTATGCTTGATAAGTCTGTTGGATGTTATGTTGACAGAAGATGGTCGAATCTGAAAAGAATGTTGGCAGTATTGCATTGTGAATGTTGATTTTGCACAGTGTGGGTCTGCTCTGTGCTTCAGAGGCCCAGGAAGACATGGGATTTTGTTGTCTGCATTTCAGTTGTCTGCATTTTGAGCAATGGGACCTAATTACACAATTTTGGTCATAAGAAACTCAAGATAAAATGAAGGAAAAAGGGTTGACACATATTAGAGATGCTTCTAATGAGGTGTCTCTTCACAAAGAAGCAACTCGCAAATTAATATTTTATCATTCTCTTTGTTCCTCAGATGAATAGAGATAGTCTAATTGTTATTAAAAATATATCTCAATGAGTAAGACTGGATTTTGACAAAAAAAAAAAAAACAGAACAGAAAATAATTGGAGAGACACAAATCAAAGCATGCAAAAGTGGAACAGCACCATCTCATCTCATTGCAAACCATTAGAAAACAGACTTGCTGTTCAGAGAGTGGTATTTGAGATGAAAAGTCTCATGCTGAGCAAGAGAACAGCCAGACCAATATGACAGAACCAAACATTGTATTAGGAATACAAAATGAATAATGTTATGTAATATTCAAACACAAAAACAGAAGGTTAGGTAGATTAATGTGGGATAAGGAGCTACAAGACATTTTTTCTGTCTGACTTTCATTTGCCAGGAATGAACAATGGAAACACTTAGGGGTACACTGAGGCAAAGGGGTTTAAAACATATACAGTCTACTGCTTAGTGACAAACACACAGTGCTATTAGAAATGAACATTAACTGATTTTCAGTCAGATTATATCGTAACACACATGAAACAATGGAAATAAAACACATTCATGCAGTACTTATTTTTAAACTTTGGGAATTTGAACAATTATTACACAAAACAAACACACTGTTAACCTATTAAATCAGATTATTCAATCATACACTCAGTCCCAGTGAGGAAAAAATACATACACTTTTCAGTCAGTGCATACGTTTGTTTTTACTCCATTTTATTATCAAAAAGTACACAGAACACAAACACACACATACACATCGTAGTTATAGATTCTCTTTAAAACATGCTAATATTTACATCATCTTGTAATTACATGCTGTAGACTATTAACAGCTGGGCGTAATGCATAATTTCTGCAGCAGATGGAAGCACTGTGGATGAACTCAATTGCACTCTGCAGGTCAACATTATTTAAATAATTCAAATATAAGAACAAAATTCTTCTAAAGGAACTGTTCAAATCAACTGAACTCTCCTATTGTGTTTTTGGAATTTAATATTAAAATCATTAAACTACAAAGTCTAAGCATATACTATTTTGCTGATGCATTAATCAATTTCTCTAAATGTTTATATCAGACAGTTGTTTGAAGGAGAACACTTTCAATACTGCACAACTTCAAATTTTCTGCTGGGAAGGAAACGAGGATACTGGACCTAATTCATCAAATTTCATAATGTGAAATAGTTTATTATTTAAAATTCACTGGTTTTAAAATTTCAAAATTAGTTTTTGTAATGATTAATACACACATTGTAGTATAAGAAATACTTTGGCAGGGGATCAGTCCTCTGTAGAGTAACACAAACTTTAGCTTCTCTGTGATTAGCTGTTAATGAAGATTCTGACTGAGCATCTCCATTAACAGAATTTGCTGTGAAACATGATGAATGCTAAAATCTGCACCTCTTTTTGGTTTAGGACATGGACATGTGCACCGTATGATGCAGCAGTTACCATGTTAATAGTCTACAAAGTTGAATTTTACACACAAATTCACATTCATTTAAAAAAGAGGCTACATTTTACGTTTCTAATCTCCTTCTCTATGAAGAAGTTTTGCTTTTGACAGGGTGTAGGTTAAAGTACAACACATCAACCAAAGACAAAAAAAAAGGACAACAAAATAAAACAAGTTTGCAAAAGCAGCATTTGAAAATAAGTCAAATGTATTTGAGCATAAGTGGTAATCTCTCTGGTGTCTGGACCTCTTCTAGGAATATTTAATACCCATGTGGTCAGCACAGCTCAAGCCTTAATTCAGATGGCGCCTTCGAAACTTTTCAATAAGGCTCAGCCTCTAGGACACAAACAATGCATGTCTCAACATTTATTCATCAGGAAGGCACACTCATGTTCCCATTCTGCATCTGATCTGCCATCTGTGTGTTTATCCTAAATGCATAGATGTGTCTTCATGGCAAAACAAACAAGCAAAAAATGTCAATTCTCTTCTCATTCTTGCTAAGAATGGTGGGATTCCTTGCGTATTAAATGTTGACATAAAAACCTTAAAAAGAAACTGCAGCACTGTTTGCTGTACTCAGTGACCTCAACCGGATTAATTCTAAATAAATCTACTAATGCTAATGGATGCAAACCAGCCCTTTGCTCCACACTATCACACTTTCTATTGCAGGGCATAGCACACTTATAAGCAACATACAATACTACGTATGCTGTGCGCAGAGCAGAGGGGAGGTAAGTAAAGCATGCTCCACAAACTAAACTAAAGCTTTTTATCCAGCATTGTCTTTAACATTATTTTTCACCCACTTTCAGCACCTTGTAAATCAGCTTCTTTAGAGCAAAAAAGACCAAAAACTGATCATTCATGAACTACTGACCCAATAACTCATCACTATTTTCTTGCCACAAACTGAGATTGGATGCTTGAAAAGAGTTTCCATCAACTTAACTGTGTATCGTTATCCTAAGATGTTTCTTTTTTCTGAGCAAGGTTTATGACAAGTAGTCATTTGATAAGTCATAGGATTCATGCAAAGAAGGGATGATTTTCCGAGTAAGAGCAATAGCTGGTTGATGAGGCTTGTTACTTCTTTGCTGCCAGCGCTGCAAGCTGGCCATCAATATCCTCCTCTGGCTGCAATGGGTGCCACTGGGCGATGGGGCGGCGCGGATTAGCCAGCATGTCTGACCAGTGCTTAAGACCCAAGCCGGTAGCCTTGCTACCAACAAAGATCTTCCCAATGGCATCGTTCTTACCGATCTTGTCGTAATCAAACACTGTGATAACCACCAAGATTTTCTGAGAATGAAGGGAAAGGAGAAATGAGAAATGTGTTTAACAGTAGTTTTACTTCAATATATATGTTTTACCTTTAACATTGAGGCTCAGCAGTTCTTAGCAATATATTTTGTAGCTCAAACTAGTACTCCAGATTAGCTAAAGAGGAACTATTATGCAAAATTGACTCTATTTTAAGCTTTATATCACATTAAAATGTTATTACATCATTTGAGAAATGCTTGGACCTCCTATGGCATCCATTTGGGGTTTTTCTAAGAGCCTATTTAACCAAAGCTCTGCCTTGGTGCTTCAGCCCCCAGCCAAGCTCCTTCCCCACAGAGCTCCCCTCTCCTGCGCCTGCCTCAAACTGATCCACCAGACAAACTGCAGCAGCAATTAGCAAACATCTGGTGGAACTGCACATCTACTGAGCTTATCAAGCTACAACGCCGCCAAGATTGTAAATGGCATCACGGGAGGACATGAAGAAGCTTTGTTGTGACGATGTGCTGAAGGGGGAGAGACGGAAAGGGCAGGAAGATCTTGAGGAGACAGAGGCCAATTTCAAGGTGACTGATATGACTATGATGTGAAGTCAAATATCTTCTAAGTTGTTTTTAACACATACAGCATTTTCATAACAACTAAAGATAACAGTTTCTTGATCGTCCTATAAAATGGCACTATGTGCTTGGAAAATACATAATAACCCCCTTCATAAATGTTTATATCCATTTAGATTGTCACTGGGACAGACATTGCCTGCTCTTGTTGAATGCCAATTTTCTTTAGTAACCAGCTTATGACTTTTGGATATGATATTGCTTGTGTATCAAAAGTAATTGCTTGGCACTTTGGACACTACAATCTAAACGCTATTTGCCTCTTTAGTTAAGAAAAATATACTTTAAAAACAAACTCCAAAACTCTGTTGTGAATAACACAACCGTTAAACTAGATTAAAAGAACTAAATGCAAACATTTCACTTTAAGCCAACACATAACTGAAACTGAAATGTATATTTTAAAACATGAATCTCAATGGAATTCAGAATATCATATTTGAGTTGAACTGTACCTGCATCTGTTCCAGTGGGATTTCAAAGCTGAATGATTCATTGTAATATGGATTTAGGGTGTTCTTCTTCACAGTTGTCTTCTTTTTCTTAAGACGCTTTCCTCCCTGCAGTAGCTGGATTTTCACATAGGGATCTGGACAGCAGATCAGGTAATGAAGGAGATAATTATTTCCAACTTACTGAAAAGAAAGACTGTTTTAATATCATTAAAATATACTAATATACTTTTAAAGTTATGTTTAAACTACTAAAAAAAAGTTAAGGATTTCTCTAAATCACAGGTCAAGATTCCTGTGCTCTCTTACACTGTGACTCATTCGTGTCCTATTTAAAGAGGGAAAACATCTGCAAAAACATCAGTCTGTATCATTCCCGGTAATTTGCAGTAATCCAAAAATAGGTTTACCAGACAAGCCACAGGCATCCATCTTCTTCAGATTCTTTGCCTCCAGGATGCAGACGGTGAGTTTTCCAGCAGTGGGGACGTAACGGAGGGAGATGCAGATGTCTCCAAGTTTCTCAGGCTGAACGGCCACCAACAAGAACAGAATAATGACAAGCAGACACACGCATCAGAAAACTACAAACTGCAAGTGTATAACAAGCTCATTTAAATATAACTGTCTCCCCCATCTTGTCTGGATTTTCTTTTGATTTTTGTTGTTTGAACTGATATTCTGTCCTGCTCAAACTTCTCTCTTTACTTATGTAGTTACATTTTTGCATTCAATCTAGTTTCCCCCATAGTTTTTCCATAGTTTATCTGGTGAAATTTACTTCCTGTATTATTTTAAAGCACGTCTTCTCTGCCGCCCATCCAAACTTTTAAGGTATATTTATTGTTCTTTAATTTCATTCCTTCTACTCTAGCTCAAGTTTAATCTCTTTAGGTTTTTTGTTTAATTTGAATGTTCAGACTATTATTAAGATGTGAGTGTTCTAAAACTGTAGGTTGCCTGGCTAAGACTTAATACAAAATACAACATGTTAGCATGCTATTAAATAAAAAAAAAACATTTCCCATGGTTGGGTTAATTTGGGTTAATCTGTAAGACGAATCATTTTCTTAAATACACACACTCTTTAACAAATCAATTCAAATAAGCTGCTAAAGTGCATCATAAATTTTCTGCTGCGTGAAGCTTTCACCACCGACTGTACATCTGTTTTCGTAACACCAGTGGGTTTTTGCAGCACATTTGCATATAGAAGATTGAAAACAGACAGACTCAAATGGGACCTAATTTAAACAATTTATGGTGTAATGGAGAAGATTATTTTATGTGCATCAACATTTTGTGAGTTGTTCCTAATACTTGCATTAACAGAAGCATTCTGTTTCACATATTGACATTTTAGATAATTATTGAAAACAGAATATATTACGATCAAGGCCACGGTTTTAAAAAAGTCTCTTATAAAAGTTCAATATCCAGAAACCTACCTCCTCTTGGTCGGCGCTCTCCAGGTCCCGCCATTCTTCAATGGGACGTCCGAGGTCAATGGTATTCATGGGCAACTTCACTTCCCCAATGACGTCATGCTTGGAAAATCTGTCATAGTCGTACACTGACATCATCAGCGTCTTACCTCCCAGTTCCTCATAGGGCACCTGAGTGAAAGAAACAGTGTAGGTTTCAAAGCAGTTATCTCACCATTGTTTTCTGTAGAGTTCGAGAAATAAATGTTAATGTGGTCAAAATTCATACTATGTGTATTTTACCAAATGTCATGTCACTAAATCAATAAATTAAGAAAACTGAAAATACACATGAAAATATAACAAAATGATTTAGTACAGAATGAGTAATGGCATTCTCAAATGTTCTCAGCAAAATAGTTAAAAATTAATATGAGGAATAAAAAACTATGTCCATGTGCATACTGTAGCAGTTTTATGTGCAAAAAGTGAATTACTTTGGCTCTCTGAAGTTGTCACAGAAAAATAAAAATTGTGTCACTGGTCATTTTGTTTTTTGCCCCTGAAAGAGCAAGCATTTTGATTCTAGCTGTGCTTTTATTCGTTTTGGCTTTTCAAATTGGTTCAGCTGCCAGCATGACTTAATGCTGCACTGCGGGGGTCGTTAGTAAATACAGCAGAGAAAGCCGAAACGGGCTCAGGGATCTAAGGACATTTCTGATAATGAGGGGACAGTTTGGCGAGACAGCTTCTGTATAAAAATACTGAGTGACTAAACTCAGCCACTGTCTTCTTGCTGCTGCATCTTATCAAACCATAGAAAACTTACCTTGAAAACAAATGTCTCGTTGAAGACAGGATTCAGAGTTTTCTTGTGCACCTTTGTGTCAAACTTCTTCTTCTTGTCAGGGAAGAGAAGGACCCTGACGTAAGGGTCGGAGGTTCCACCGGAGTCCATTGACATGAGATCTGCAGCTTGAAGGATGCCAACTGTCAGCTGTTTATGACACGAAGAAGAGAAATGATGAACACAGAGCAGTTGTTTCTCTTCTTTTTTAAGTAACTCAACTGTTTTTGTATGTCATTGACCCTGTCTATATCTATAACATGATATAGTCATTCACCTAATGTGGATCTTCATTAAATGTGAACACCTAGAAATTACTGAAAAAATGATTAGTCCGTTCTTAGATTGCATAGTGAATTCAGAAGTGACAACCACATACCTTTGTGTTTTCAAAGTCATAATCTATGGAGTACTGGAGTTTCCCCAGTTTTTCTTGCTCTTTCTCCTCCTCCTCTTTTTCCTCCTCTGTCATTCCGGTCTCACCTTCTTCTTCATCATCGTCGTCCTGTTGTTTCTGTTGTGTGAAGGTGACAAGATGAAACACTGAATGAAATACTATTAAACTCAGACTTGCAACACAGGGATTCCCCATAACCATCAGCATGCCACAGACACTGGAGCTCCAGGAGGTTTTACATGGGAGATACATGTTTTGGTTAGGACTTACCTGCACAAGTCCTCATGATCAAAAAAAGGACTTATAGTTTCAAAGTGAAAAAAAAAGTTTGTTGATTACAAATGAGTGTCTACTTTTTTTAGTCCTTCACTCCTCATCCTCTGTGTTTTTGGTCCAGTGGGTAACTCTTTTGACATGCTTGAGCAGGACAGTGACAGCCAGAGTTAGTGGAGGTTTTGCATGCTAGTTCCACTAAGGGGGGTAGAAAAAATGCCAGAACCTTTCACTCAACTCAGAAAAAATAGAGTTCTCCAGTTTGCAAAATTTTAGATATTACCAGATGAACAGGCTGAAACAATTTTAAATGAACCCCAAAGGAACTAGCTTACAACAGCATCACCAGTGCATTTAATAAAGGCAAACAGGATATTCTGAGCTTTATATTACATATGCTAAACTTTTAAAAAAAGATATATAGCAGCCAAGGTAAACATAGCCAGTTTCTAGAAACCATGCACACATGTTGTCTTAATCACAAACATTTATATAGATTGTGACTGGATTAGTGCTACCTGACAGTTAAGCCTGCTTTTGGAGACTTAGATATGCACTGAAGATGTCTTTAGAAACCTGGATATGCTATTGCAGTTCTTTCTGAAGCACACAAGTTCCAGAAAATATTCGCATGGTAATGATTAAATGGTTTGAGTAATTAATGGATTTTTCAGGTTTTATCAGTAAAATGTAATAGATCCCCTGACTTAATCCCATCTAGGATGGATGAAATCACACAGATGGATTACAGATTACAACAGGAGTGAGAAATATTGTTAAATATTTTGAATAAAATCTTTTTTATTTTAACATCAGCCATTTAGTTAACTGTTGTAGTGAAAGTGGGTGATACAATCAGATTAACAAAAAAGATTAGAGCATCTTCTAAGTGTGGTAAATCAGTCATTTTATAATTCCAGATACACAAAATAGTCAACTAGAAAACATCCAAAACAACTGTCAACTTAACGCTCCATGTTTAACTTCCATTAAGAGATGGTTGTAAGTGACACTCTGGAACAGACTATATTATTGAAGATATTAACTTAAGTGAAAGACTGTAAACAAGGAAAATAAGGACTCTATACATGTTTATGGTTTCTAGAAATGTAAAAGTGAAAAACATCCTCTCAGACAAATTGAAGATTATTAGGCCCTGAAATAAGGCAGGATTATACTCTTCTCACTCATTCAAGATTTAGAATACATACCAAGTTTGAAGCACCTTCAGCTCTTGTTTAACTCATTACTTATGTGGCTAAAAATGCCTCATCTCTATCACAATAAACTTCTAAAGAAAATATTTTGCTGCAAAGTTATTTTTGTGACCGAGTAAACACATTCTTGTCAGAGTGACCGTTAGATGTCTGTCTCTATAAGAATCAGCATCAAAGGTTTTTTGAATAGCTTGTCATGCAGTTTCATCATCACCATTTCCATGTCTCCCAAACAACCAACCATGCCCTTCATCACATGCACAGATTAATAGTGTTAACGGTGTCTTGCACGTCATTTTGTGAGTTACAGTTACATTGTCCAATGAACAATGTGTTAGATGGTTAGACTCTCCTCTCCTGGGTTTATGGAGGACATCATAGCTTTCCCATCATTACATTCTCAGGCTATTACGACAGAATTAACACAACAAAAAGAGGGAGACAACGGCAGCAAAGGAAGCTACGACTTTCATTCCATGAAACCCACCTCCGCCCTTGAGGCAGAAGGTATCAACACGAGCTATCCACCTACCGTAGAGCAGGGGTCCACCACAGTCAAGAAACACGAGGCACACATAAGACAGACACAAAGCGGAAAAAAAGGAGGAGAGCAGAGAGAGGAAGAGATTCAACTCACAAGACACCAAACACACAACAAGGAAAGAGGCAATCAAGACCACCACAACCACAGTTAGAAGGAGAAATGACACACTTGATATGAGGACTGTAGACAAATCTGACTGCTAAATCAAAGTAAATGGATCACACAGAACTGGTGATATAAGCTCATTTGTCCTCTTTTTCAGTTAAGGAATTATATTTTTTTTTATGGCTAACCAAACAAAATTTCCCAACATGGTGTCTCCTATTCTTTGCCATCTATAAATAACGTGTGTCATTTTTCACCATGAGGTCACAATGGAGTACGTCACATTTTAAAACAACAACACAACATCAATTAAACGGAGGGGACGAGAGCTCTCCTTGTGTCCTCTACTGCCTGGCCTAATAGAGCTGCTGGTGAAAAATCAAACGGAGTTAGCCAGACTTATTCTGTGCCATAAAATTCAGAATTTACAAGAGAAAACGTAACAAAGTGAAATGGATAAGAAAGGAGGAAGATTCCAACTTAATGCTACCCTGACTTTCAGGGGTGCAGGAAGCTCGATCCGTCATACCTCACCACCCTGCATGTTCTTCATGTTAAAGCCGTCCTTGCCCTTCTTTCCTTTCTTGTTCTTCTTCTTCTTGCAGCAGCATTTTTTGATTATGCAGAAGCAACAAGTGAGGACGAGCAATGCTGCCACCACAGCAATAGCAATCAAAGCCCATGGAGGAACTGGTTCAAGAAGCAAAGGTGCAAAATTAGAATTCGATTGAAGACTTTTATACTTTTATGCCATTGTAGTGTGACTTACGTGGGATTTTATCGATTTCATTTAAGAATTTGCTTTTAATCTCTTCAAACATGTCATTCTTGCTGATCTCTGTGTTGTTGGAGCCTGAAGTGTCCGGTGCAGAGGTGGAGGCTGAGACTGGGGAGGGAGCCATTGTCACAGTGGTGGCACTTGTTGGCTCTGCAGCGGCAACAGCCTGGGGCTGTCTGAACAAGTTGAACTTCATTGTGAAAGACTAGGGGCTTTGTCCCTGAAACACATACAATAAGCAAAGAAATAATTTATGTGCATAGTGGCAAAAGGATTAAAGGTGCATTTTGCAAACTTTTGGGAAAATAAATGCGTTTGTGTTGAACAGGTTCCAACTTTTCAGCTTCAAAGTCCTTTATCATAACATTTACATTGGAAAGGAAGGCATTGGTGAGTCTAAATATAGGGAATAAGTCATTTATAAAGAATTGTAGCACACATTGTTTTTTATCAATCCTGATAACTGTCACAAAAAAATTTACTGATTTTATTTTGTCTTCTCAATTTATTGAGTCCATTTAACACCCCTCCCTGCATTAGTCTTTCATGTTCCACAGGGTGAGTCCTATCCGCAGCTGAACCAGTAATGTTAATCTTAGCTCCAGCATGTAAAATAATGCTTCTGATGTTATTTTTTAAAAAATCACAATGCCATAAATGCTTAAATTTTAAAAGATTATCAACTGCAAAAAAAAAAAAAAACAAAACAGTTCCATCTATACTTATTAGAAAATGCATCACAATGCATGCATGCACAGTCACATAACTATAATGTATAACAGAGAGGGCTTGAAATGCAGGCTTTGAGATCTGATGTCCAACAACTTTTATATGCGTTTCTGCTTCAACACACCTGATTCAAATAATGAGGTCATTAACAGAACTCTGGATAGCTTGGCAGAGAAAGTGATTCAACCATTGATTCAGGTGTATTCAACCAGGAAGACATGTAAAAGTTACAGGATGCCTGGATTTGAAAACCCCAGGGATATACTATTCACAAAAATGGAAATTTGTAAATAAATTAGCTTTAAATCTCATATAGTAAGTCAAACAGCATTTTCTCCATCCCACCGGATGGCAGACTGAAACTCAGCTGTTTTATTTTTCTGTTTTTCTTGGGTCACTTTATCTTATCTTGCTTTTAGTTGTTATTCAAACTTAATTTTAGAAACAATGTGATTTTTTCTTTAAAGCCACAGAATTTAGTGACGTTTTGACTTTATCATGTATCTGAAAACTAAATATTTGATTTTCTGAGGAGGAGCAAAGGGAAGATGTTCCTGTTATGCTAAACCTAAGGACCTGCCAGACTGAAGGTCTCTAATGGTGTCAACAATTTCTAATTTCTATGTAGTGAAATATTCAACACAACTGTCTTTGAGTTAAACGTATCGGTTTTATTTATTTTTTTACTAAAGTATAATTCAGTTTTGTGTTTAGTTTTAATAAGAAACCTTTTTCACATGAAAATATCTGTATCAGTTTTATTGCGTGCAAGCTGTTCAGTTCTGATTAGTTTTATGTCAAACAACATATCATAATATTTTGACCCTAAATCCAGAAACATCTTTAAAACTGTAAAGACTCCACAATCAATTAACAGCTGGCGATGGATGGATGGCAGCCTCATGAAGCACACACTAAAGTGGGGCTACTCTTAAAAGAAGTCTGTGACAAATTAGTATAAAAATGTACATGATTATGTTGCAAAATAACAAGATCTGGTTGGACTTACTGGGACAACCTAACACCTGACAAAATTAACTTTCCTCCCAGCCTCCAGTAAGCCTTCATTATTATTAATTCTCTTTGGGCATGCCAGTTTGTGACAGTGATACTTTATTAAAACGTGCTGCTGAGTCTGAATGTGCCAGGGTTCTGCTGTCTAATTGAGAATCGTTGTTTAGTTGCACTGCAAAAAATATAGCTTCAGATAACAGAGTATCTTGCTGCATCATGGTTCTTTAATTGAAAGCAGAGGTAACGAAGATAATCAAGAGGAAGTACATGGTGCAAACTAACGAGTTGTTTCTCTTTTTGGTGGTCATTCACAAATACTACTGACAAATGCCCTTATTTCACTGCAGGATGATACATACTGCAGATTGTCTGAACAATATGATGTGGATGCCACTTTTCAGCTGTCGAACTCACCACAAGCCCAACCAAGCAGTGAAGAATAGCTGACAATTTATTCTTGAGCTATACTGCCTAGAGGTAAATTGCAACAATTTTAAAATAATTCATATTCAAGCAAGCACAAAGAAAATACATTCTTTGTTTTGCTTTCTAATAATGATCCTAAAGAAGTTGTTGAAATTTATATGATTGTAAAAGTAACTGCATTTGATAGCGCTAAGAAAATATGTTAAAAAACAAAAAAAAACAAAACAAAACAGCCGAGACAGAAATCACAAGAGTTAGAGAGTTTCTTTTAGATTTTTTACTTGCTTGGCAGCAAGGAGAAAATGCAATGAGCTACACAGTTCATAGGTCAGAACATTCTCTGATCTTGCTTAAATACATTGTCTATGCCTGTGCAATGATGGAAAGTGGGTGTGTTGCAGAATTGCAAAAAACACCTGGCAGAGGCAGTTCTTCATCTCAGTTTCACTTTATCCAGCAAATGTCATGCTGCCAAGACTGACTGTGTGGAAACATAAGGTTAAATGATCATGAGGGAAAATAAACAACACATGTGTAAATGACAAATCAAAAACAATGTAAACATTAAATTGAATTGACAATTAGAAGATAACATAAAATGATGATCATGAAAAGACATTTCTTGACAGATAGGTGTAATCAAATGGGAAAAAAGACAAAAAAAAAAGAAGAATACTGTTAGAATTTGACCACATGGGGTTGAATGTGTGAATGAGTGTATATAATTTAAGCTCTAAGAATATTTCCATCCTTAGGAATCTACCAGAAATAGTTTTCATTTAATCAAAGGAAAGTTTTCTGCTCATTTAATGACATAAAGACATTGAGTACTTTAACTTGCTTGTGATTCAAATTGCCTAAACACTTTTCTGAATTTCCCCACTGAGGGACAGTAAAGGTTATTTATATTATGCATTTATTTCTGTTCTATTCTCAGAGTTCATAATTTAAGTTAGTGAGTGTTGACAGAAGCAGTGTGGTGTCGGAGGACATCAGATCAACAAAATAAAGTGAACCATCTGTATGCTAAAAACAATCATAATATTGCTTCCGCTTTATCGCTTTACTGGCCATGAATCAATAGGTATTGCATTCCCAAAATGTGTATTTCTGTGTAAAGTATCTCTCACAACAATGGATGATCCAAAGTCTAATTCATATTTGTCTTCTGTACAGCATGGACATGTGATCTGGGCTCACAGATCATTGTTGCTAAGCAATCCTGACAGTTTCCATCAGCAACCCAGAATTGCTCACAACCTGCCCATAGCTGAGGTGACCAGCCTGTCAAATAACCACCTGGATTAAGGCCAGAACACAAATCAGTGATCAAACAGTGGGCATGGAGATGATATGAATGCAGAGTTCTGTCACTAAGCTGTTTTGTCTCCAGGTTGTGAATGGAGCTCCAGATTCAAACCAACTTCTTTCTAAACATATTTTGTATCTTCAGTGTTCATCCACCATGACAACATCACCTTTGACATTTTGTAAACAAGCAAGGAAAACCGATATTATGGATCTAGTGCGGGGATGCTCCGTTTTCAGATTTCTATCACTTAAATCACAAGCTTTTTAAAATGTTATTATAAAAAAAAGCATACACCAAAAGAAGTTATAACCTTTTTCATTTATGTAATAGTCTTTTGTCTCTGTTTCATTACCACTCGCTCCATTCCTTCCTATGTTTTCACTGTCTGCGACCACAAGTCAGCGTCACTCAGTGCAGGAAAGAAAAACGCTCTGCCACATCGTCATTGATAAAAATGCTCAGGTACGGCGGATGCAGTCATACATGAATACTTTTGAATCACATAAACTATTTTCTATATTCTGATTACATTCATGTCATGCGTTGCTACTGTATTAAATCAAATCGAGTGAACAGTGCTGATCAAAAGACAACTCACCATTTAGATGAGGTATTGCCCCTGTGAAGTGGCCCATTCAATGAGTGTTTGGGATCCAGTTCCTCAGAGCTGTGGTAACATAGTCTGATCTCTCCCATTAACAGAGACTGCAGTCTCCTCTCACTTCTCTCCACTGCAGCAATACACCTCCTCCTCCTCCTCCTCCTCTGTCCAATGCTCACAATCTCCCCCATATTCCTCCCTCCCATCACACACCTCCCCACTTCTACTCTTCTTTAGCCTCTATGTACTTATGCACGCAACCTCTTTACCTCTTTCTCCCCAACCATCTCTGCTTTCCCCAAACCTCGTTTGTGATGCTGCTCACACAGCTGATTGCAGCATACCACTTTTGTCTGGGATTGGAGGGCAGTTGTAAGAGATCAATAAGCACAAGCCATGGGATGAGGGGCATCTGAGCACGGCTACAGTTTACAGAAATGAGCAAAGAAAACAAGCAAAATATACATCAGGAACGCTGACGAACTCCGAAGGCCAACAGACTGTGCAACACCAGCCCTACTAATGGCATTACATTAAGCTGATGTACTTAACTGTATTGTAACAATTGGTCTTAGGAATGTGATTTAACTCGCCACAGAGACATCTCTGTGTCATGATGCAAAACAGCTGAAAAGGAAGAAATGGAAAGTTTCCAGTCAGTCAGTCAGAGGAATTACACTTTATGCTAAACTGAGCAGCCAATATTCAGATAAAACAATTAATTTGTGAAGCACTGTATCTGTGACCCACAATCTTATAA